ACTCAGGGATAACCCCTCCGGGGCGCTGGTCGATTCGGACCCAGCCCTGTCGAGGACGCATGCCTTCCCATCGCATATCTCCGAGTCTGGCTCCAATTTCGCGCCCAGTCGAACACCCTGCAAAGCCGGGGATTGGGGTCGCCATACCCCGCGTTATCCTCCCGCTCCCCCTCCATCTCCCTTTTACACCTTCCAGTGCGCATCTCGATCTCATCGATCCGATTCGATATCGATCGCGCTTGGCGAAATCTGATTCGAGCCTGATGCCCTGACGGCTCGATTCCGACTCCGTGCCGGCGCAGGCCGATTCGAGGCGAATTCTAGACGCTTCGCGTATCCCCACCAGCCCGTCCAGAAACGACGCCCAGGCGAGTAGAGGGTCGTCCTGAGGGGCTTTTCGGCGTCTTGGGTGCCTCTGGGGGGCCTCTGTGGGCCGTTCGGAATCCTCTTTGGGGCCTCCTGGGGGCCTCTTGGGGCCTCTTGGGGCCATCTTGGGGCCTCTGGGAGCACCTTGGGTGCCTCTGGGGGGTCTCTTGGGGCCTCTTGGGGGTCTCTTGGGGGCCTCCTGGGGGCCTCTTGGGGGGCCTCTTGGGGCCATCTTGGGGCCATCCTGCGGCTTCTTGGGGCATCCTGGGGGCCTCTTGCGGCCATCGTGGAGGAAGTCGATCAAAGAAGAGGGGTTCCTAAATTTCAGCCCCCCCCTCAGGAGCCACGATCCTCGTGAGGGGTGTCGAATTTTAGCCCTCCCAGGAGTCGTTCTTGGACGCTCTAACTACCCGCGGCCCCCCCTGTCCAGGTCAGTGGGGAGGGGGTAGGGGGAGGGGTAAACCCCTCCCCGAAGGGGAAGAAGGAGGGGTGGAAGAGGAAACGCTCTAAACCACCGACGCCCAGAGGGCTGGTGGGATTCCGATCCGATCCGACTTCCCGATTCGATGGTGACTGATCCTGCCCTGCTCCTCCTGAGGCCTCCAGAGGCTCCCAGACGCCTCGGGAGGACCCCGCATCACAGCCCGTTGGCATCGCTCGGGCGTGTGCATTTGTTCTCGGCAACGACCATTGAGGAACATCTTGGTCCACAGGGCGGGACCGGAACGGTGTTTTGGAGATTTGGTGGGCCGTTTTCGTTTCGATCTCGTTATGTGGCAAGGGCGATTGCAAGACAAAACGAGGGAAAACTAACAAAACACGAAAATGAAACAAATCGTTTAGGTTCAGCCCTGCCCTGGATCACAGCCCCTTGGCATCGCTCGGGCGTGTGCATGTGTTCTCGGCAGCGACCATTGAGGAGCATCTTGGTTCACACATGCGAGAAAACAGCGCACAAGATCGAGAGCTGCACGGGGGAATGGCCGTCCGAGGGCGAGCTGGACACCAGATAGCTGAGAACCAGTAGGCTTTGCACATCTCAGCAGGGGAAGACTATGATAGGAGATTGGATTCCTCTCGCTTCGCGGGGTCCACGTCCGGAGCACGTACAGTCCAGTCGTTGCGGGGCCTCTTGTCGGGGGTGGACAGAACCCCCAACAGTGACACGTCGATTAGTGAATTGTCCGTTTTCGGTTCTCGAGAGGGCGCCGCGGCCGTTATTTTCCAGGCTTGCGCCCGCCAGGTTTGGGTCTCAGGTCGTTTTCACTAAACCACGTTTTGCTAAAGGGGGTTCTGTCCATCCCCGACTCTTCTGCACTGGGCTTCTTTGGGGCCTCTTGGGGCCTCGTGGGGGCGTCTTGGGCCGTCTTGGGGCGCTCTTGCCGCGTGTGGCCCATTCGGAGGCCGGTCTGGAGGCCTCTCGAGGCCGGTCTGGGGCCTCTCGCGGCCGTAATCGCCGCTGTGGAAAAGTGCTCAAATGTGGGAGGTGTGGGCTTTGGTGGGCGTGACTTGCTCGGCTACCGCGCGTGCGTGCCACTCCGTCCTGCAATCCCCAGGGCTTCTGGGCAACCTCATGGGGGGTTCTTGGGGGCCTCTTGAAAGCCTCGTTGGGGCTTCTTCGAGCGTCTTTGGGGCCGCTCTGGAGACTCTTGGGGCTTCCCGTTGACGTCTTGCGCCGGCTTGGGGCGCCCTGGCGCCGTCTGGCCCCTTCGGAGGCCATCTTGGAGACCTCTCGCGGCCGCCTTAGGGCTCTCTTGGAGTCCTCTTGGGCCGTCTTGGGGGCCCGTTAGACCGTCTTAGGGGGCCTCTTTTGGCCGTCTCGGGACCCTCTTGAGCAATCCTGGGGCCCCTTTGGGGGCCTCGTTGGCCGCCTTCAGGTCTTCTTGGAGGCTGCTTGGGCCGTCATGGTCCTCTGACAGTCGAACAAGGCGAGAGCGCTAACATCTTTCAAAACCAACGGGAAATCAATGAGTTTGGCTCTTGGAGGCGCTCTTTCAGCCTCTTGGGGCCCCCTTGAGCCGTCTTGGGGGCCTTACGGGCCTTCTTGCGACCATCCATGTCCGTCTTGGGGCCAGATTGGGCCATCTTGAGGCCCTATTGGAGTCCCAAGAGGCCCCAGAGGCCCAAATTGTAGATTTCCTATGTTTCTTTTTATCGACTTCGAGTGCCCGAAAGGGGGGCATCCATCTTGGGTCGGCGGAGTGGCGCGACTCCAAGGGGGGTTAGGGGGGAGACATAATAATGTAAAACAATACGACATGTGGCAATTATACAACGATTGGATACATTAGATACGTTGCTTTATCGTCTCCGCAGAAAAAGCCGCCGCTCAGCACGTCACTTCTGGACGTGGATTCTTAGGCTTACGCCACACCGCCGATCCCTTGGGGGATTGGCAGTTGTTGCGTGTTGCCCCTGAGGGCCTCTTGTGCGCCTTTGGGGGGCTTCTTGGATCTCTTTTGGGGCTTCATGGTGGCCTCTCGGGGGCCTTCTCGGGGCCTCTTGGGCTGACATCCTTAGTATTCGCCGTGCACGCATTGGGAAACGGGCGAGAATCCAGACGGCGGGCATCTGTTAACACACCCGAAGAACGAGTATCGAATGGCCTTCGGTACAGCCCACCACTATGCTTGGGTTGCGGGTCTGAGGCCATTCGGATGGCTGATGGGGTCTCGTGGGAGGCGTCTCGGGGGGCATTTTGGAAGTAGTTTTTGAGCAGTCCGTTCGGGTTCCGCCTCTGGGTCCCCTCTTGGGGCTGTCCTGGGGCCCTCCCGGGCCGTCTTGGTGTCTTCTTAGGCCGTCTTGGGGCCCTCTTGTGTCGTCTTGGAGCCTTGTTGGAGGCCTCTTGGCCCGTCTTGGGGCGATCTTGATGGCCTCTTGGGCCGTCTGGGACGTTGTGAACGCCCAAGTGGCGAATGTGCTAAACATACACGTTTTCCACAGGGAATGGGCGATTAATTGTGTCTGGAGGCCCTCTTGGGACGCCTCTTGGGGGCTTCTTGGGGCGTCTTGGGGGCCTCTTGAGCCGTCTGGAGGGCAGCGTGGGCGTTTTGGATAGATCTTTCAGCGACTCGTGGCCCTCGTGGATCGCCCCAATGAGCTCTTGGGGTCCTCTTGGCCTGTTGGGGGGGCCCTCTGCCCCCCCGGGTGCGTTCAGCCGGATCCTGGGGGACCTCCCCTCTCCAAATCCACCTGACCGGGCTCCCGGGGGAGGGTATTGGGGAGGGGGGAACATCTCACACGCCGATAGACCCCAGGGGGACGTGCACGCACGGGGCATCGGGCGAGAACCCGCGTTTGCAGACGGTGGGCGTCTTTCAAAGTGCCAGAAGGATGATTATCGCATGGCCTTGGGCACACCTCGCCGCCGTGCCTGGGTCGCGGGTTTGACGCCGTTCGGATGGTTGATGGGGTCACGTGGCAGGCGCGTCCGGAGCGTCATGGAGGCAGTTTTTGAACTTGTTGGGGCCTCCTGGCGGCGTCTCGGGGCTTTTTGGGGAGCCCTTCTTGTTTCTCCGGGGGCCTCTTGGAATATTGTTGGGGACTCTTGGGGCCATCTTGGGGACGGGAGCTCGAGCTGTCCGTTGGGGCTGCCCCCTCCAGGCCTCTACTTGGGGCCGTCCTTTGGGCCACCTCGGCCGTCTTTGAGGCTTCTGGGGCCGTCTTGGGGCTCTCGTGTGCCGTCATGGAGCCTCTCGGGGGCCTCTTGGCCCGTCTTGGGTCGATCTTGAAGGCCGCTTCGACCTGGGTGGGCATCGTGAGAGCACAAGAGGCGAATGTGCTAAAACTGTTTAGGTGTTCCCCAGAGAGCGGGGCGACTCTTGCTCCTTGATGGCCTCTTGGAACGCCTCGTGGCGACTTCTTGGAACGTCTTTGGGGCCTCTGGGGCCAACCTTGGGCGTCGTGGTGCGATCTTGCGGCGACTCGTGCCCCGCGTGGACAGTCCGGGGACCCTCGTCAGGCCCTCTTTGGCCCGTTTTGGGGCCCCTGTCCCCCATGCCGCGTTCGGCCAGTCCCCGGGGGTACCCCCCCCTTCCAAATCGACCGGGCCGGGGTCTCAGGGGAGGGCTTTGGGAATCTGCACGAACGAAATGGGTACGGAAAGAATGGGCACAATGCCCAACAGCAGTTCCTGTTCGTTTTGAACAGGATTCGCTGTCCACGCCGCCGCGGCCTGTGTCCATTCGAGACAGAAGGCCGCCTGCCCAACAGCGGCCGCTGTTGGTTTGGGACAACATTTGTTGTTGGGCATTGTACCCATTTTTGTCCGTACCCATTTCGGGCGTCCAAAGGGAAGGGGGAGGCATCTCACCCGCCGATGAACCCCAAGGGGTCGGCGGATTTCGCTTCGACCTACGGCTGTAGCTTTTACGGGTGAGCCAGCGTCCTGGTTTACCAAAGTTCTTGTTCACATTGGAGGCCTCCGGAGTTACCAAAGTTCTTGTTCACGAGTCCCTGATTGGAGGCCTCCTGAGGCACAATTCAAAGGCTTGTACAGCCGCCCCAAGACCTGTGCCCTCCCTCCTCGTCCTCCGTCCGCGTGCTTCCGCGATGGAGACTGGGAGTCGCCGCGGGCTCGGGCCCCTCGATGCAGTGATGGGCGCCCCAGCCCCTCCCCGAGTGGGGAGCGGCAGGGCTGGCGCTACCGGACGGTGTTCTGGTCCAACGCCGGCAACGTCGGCTACAGACAGGCCAGAGGGTCCAGGGACAAACATCGGCATACACACAGATGTTTCGGGGGTGGACAGAACCCCCAACAATGACACGTCGATTAGTAAATTGTCCGTTTTCGGTTTTCGAGAGGGCGCCGTGGCCGCTATTTTCCAGGCTTGCGCCCGCCAGGTTTGGGCTTCAGGTCGTTTTCACTAAACCACGTTTTACTAAAGGGAGGTCTGTCCATCCCCGAATGTTCGGAGGTCCGCACGGACCTCTGAAAGTTACAATTTCAGGCGGTGGTCCTTCTTCTAGACGAGATGTAGGAGGACGATGAGGAAGGATAGGGGAGAGGAAAGCTCGGTGCGCGCGCGCCACGTAATTATGACATCAGACGCCTTCCGCTTACCCCTGTGTACTGCGTGGATTTTGTTTCTGCCCGCCGACTCGGGTATTCCAGAGGGCCTTCATTCCCGAACTGCACCTGCAGGATTTGACGTCGTTTGCTGTACAATCGGCACTGGGTGGTGCACATTGGGGAGAGAGGGCTTGTGGAGGATAAGCAGGCGGTGGAGTTGCAGCAGGGCGGGCGAAGCGGGAGGAGCAAGAAAGGAGCACGGAGGGCGGAGGAGGTGAAGAGCGGGGAGCGGCAACGGCGGGAAGGAGCCGGATGCAGCGATTCGGCCCGCGCCGGAGCGAGAGCGGACCGCAGAAGTGGAATGGAGTGCGCAGCACGGATTTGAACAACGGGAGCAATGGACGGAGCTTGAAATGCGGCCACTGCAGCAGCGTGATCGCCAAACGGAAGCGCGCGGGCACGAGCAGCCCTTGACATCCTGCGTGTCAGCTCGGTGCGCAGACGGACCGAGCTCATATCGGGGACGGACAGAACCCCCAACAGTGACACGTCGATTAGTGAATTGTCCGTTTTCGGTTCTCGAGATGGCGCCGTGGCCGTTATTTTCCAGGCTTGCGCCCGCCAGGTTTGGGCCCGAAGTCGTTTTCACTAAACCACGTTTTACTAAAGGGAGGTCTGTCCATCTCCGATCATACCAGTGCGTGGTCAAGGGGGAGAAGGGAGTAGCACTTACAAAGTATTTCTGATATGCAGAGGCGGGGGCGGAGGCGGAGGAGGGGCGGGATGAAGAGGTACAGGCAGACGAGGGATGAGTGAGGGAGGGGTTCGATGATGACGAGGATGAGGAGGGCGAACAAGGAAGGAAAAGGAAGGGAGGAGGTTGAGCATGAGGAGGAGGACAGAACAGTGAAAAACAACCATTCCGTATCCATCATGAAAGGTACTTTTTCGTGCAGGAGGTTTTGGAATTTCAGACAGCACCGCTAGAGTGAAAGATGCGACATATGCCGACCAGCGTACGCTCAGAGTCTGGATCGGAAACGTCGTCCGCAGGAACCCACAATGATCCACGTGAATTCTCAGCCTTCACGATGCGTGACAAAGCTGGAACGTCGGCAGAAGCATTTACCGCAGGACCATCCACGTCTTGTCCTTCCGCGTGAAGCATGATTTGCGTGGAGGCCAAAGAAGGGGTAGGAAGGCGGATGAGAATTGGGCCTTTCGAGCACCCCCCTCTCCTTGAGCTCCTGCTCCTTTTTGTTGCTTCCTCACTGAAGCAGAGCGGCAGCCACCCTCTTAGTGGTGAAGCCCTGCCGCAGTTCATCTTCTGCCCGCTTGTTGATCCCATCCCGATTTTCACTGTTGTCAGCCCCCCCCCTCGAGGTCAGATCCTGGATGACAGGTGGTAGCTGCACCGTGTCTCTTTGCGGCCCTGGTGGGGCGATTCGGCCTGCGCGCTCTCCGCACCCTTTCGCTCGAAGTCCCGGTGAGAACCTCTTGCGCGCCTCGGCGCTGTTCCACTGAAGGGCGCGGAAGGGATGGCTGGAGGGAGATTTCGGGCGTCCCTGCCCAGTGGCCCAACATGGCGGCGGCTATTGGCAGGCTCAGGAGAGCGCGCGAAGCTCGAGTCGCGGGCGGGGGGGGGAGTGCGAGAGAGGTCTGGCCGGCAGGCAGGATCAGGGAGGCGAGGCGGCGGGGTTTGTTCTGCTCTCCTCCGCTTGGTACCCACACTCCAAGGCTCTGGTTTTAGTGGCGGGAACACGTGAGACTCGAGTTTGCTGGAAGTCGGGTTTGCGGCCGCTTTTTGACTGTCACGGTTCCCGCATGAAGTCCGATGGCCCAATTTTCATGACGTGTGTGCAGTTGGAGCGGTCGTTGGAAGTAGGTATTTTGGGATTCCCAGATCCCAATCTATTTCAAACGCCTTTTTACCCCAAGAATCGATGTGCTTTTGCTGTGTCTCGTTGTGCTCTGGCAGGGCCTGAACCCAATCTGCTGAATCCGCCTTCCGACTTCCTGTTTCACTTGCTTCTTCCGACGTGGACGCCCCGCAGTTGCGGACAACAGCGAGACGGCGCCCGCCGTCGTCGGATGGTCGCGTCGGCGGGGGCGCGCAGTGGTGTTCTCCAGCGCCCCGGGCGCGACAGCCCGGCGCGCCGTCGACAGTCGCGCGCGGCGCGGCCGCAGGGGCCTGCACGGTGGCGCCTCGCGGTCTCGCATCGTGGGCGGCCATCGTGCGCGGCCGCCCGCCGTTTGGGCGTCTTTGCCTGGCACGCTGCTCCGCTTCGAGGAGCGCGCGCTGCTGTTTTGCGCCTGATCTGCTGCGCAGTGGCCCCAGGAGAGAGTTTCTGTTTACCCTCTGGGCCACAAAGCGCGTGATGCCCCCTACCCTCCCACCCCTCCCCCCCATAATTAGCGTGACGCTCCCCCCCTTCAGGGCGTCCCTGGCAGTGCCGCAGTGCATCCGGCACCACAGTCTGGGAGTGCTGCTATAGTGGGGGCGCGCATCAAGAAATCATGTGCTTTCCGTCAGGGTACCCTTGGTTTCTTTGCTCCGCGCGCTGCGCGGTATCTTCCCGCGGCCGTTATGGAAGCTGCTTGTTCAGGGTTGTTCAGGTTGGGTTTCCTGCGAGGGTTCTTGCGGCCGCGCCCGCCCTGCATTTGCCCTTGATCTGCTATGCAGTGGCGCCAGATGCGCGACAAAAGTGCTGTTATCCAGTCGCCTGCGGCGAGTCCCGCCACTGGGCCAACCCAGCATTCTGGGTGGCGACTGCTCGAGGCTGCAAGGGAGGCCGTCACGTGTGACTCTTGTCTCCAGGCTCGGGAGTGCCGTGGTAGGGATGATAAGATCAGGATAGTGGAGATGATGACGATGATGGCGATCGATTATGATGATGCTGGTGCTGCTGACGGCGATGCCGATGATGGTTGTGATACATATGTTTGTAAGTATGCTGATGCTAAAGATGATGATGAGGATGGTGAGGACGATGATGATGCTGATGCATATGATGATGATGATGATGATGATGATGCTGATGATGATGATGATGATGATGATGATGATGATGATGATGATGCTTGTGCTGTTACGTCTGCTGCTGGTGCTGATGTTGACTATGCTGATGATGATGCTGATGCTGATGCACATGCTTATGATGCTGCTGATGATGTTTCTGCTGACGATGCTGCTGATGATGATGTTGTTGATGATGAGGAGGATGAAGATGATGCCGTTGATTATGATGCTGCTGATGATGAGGATGCTGATGATGCTGCTGATGATGGTTTTGATGATGATGATGATGTTCATGCTGAGGTTGACGATGATGATGCTAATGATGATGGTGATTTATGACTGATAATTGATGGTAGATTATGGTGATGATGATGCTGATGATGATGATGATGATGATGATGATGATGATGATGTTGATGATGCTGATGCTGATGCTGATGCTGATGCTGATGCTGATGCTGATGCTGATGCTGATGCTGCTGATGATGACAGTGATGTTGATGATGATGATGCTGATGATGATGAAACTCATTTGGGCCGTCTTGGGGCTGTCTCAGCCTTGAGTGAGGCAGGCTCCAGTGTCTGTCCCTGTTGGTCCTCTTTGGCCGTCCTGAGGCCCTCTTACGCCGGCTTGGGATTCTCTTGGGCCGTGTTGGGGCCCTCTCGGCCGTAATGATGGGTGCCTGGGCGCCGTCTTGGCGTCGTCTTGCGCCGTCCGAGAGATTCCTAAGGCCGTCTTGTGTCTCCCGGGAGGCCTTTTTGGGCCGCCTTGAGGCCGTCTTGGATGCCTCTTGGGCCATCGTGGTGTCCTCGTGGGCCGGCTTGAGCTGACGGCAGCCCGAAACTGCGAGAATGCGAGAATCATGCAAGAGCCGACGGGAAAAAATGATTGGGACTCTTCGGACACTGTTGGACGTTCTTCTGTGTCCTTCTTGGGCCCTCTTGGAGGCATCTTGGGCAGCCCTGAAGTAATATTCGGCCGCCGCGGGGCCATCTTGGGCCGTCTTCGATGCATCTTGGGCCACCTTGGCGCCCTCAGTTGCTTGCACGGGCCGTCTTACCATCCATTGTGTTTAACGAGAGATCGTGGAGCGCTTGGGAGCAGCGCCTGGGAATGCGGGACGCGCACGATCCTCGAGCGAGTGCGATTGGGATGAGGGTTCTCGGAGGTAGCAGCCATGCGGGAAGTGCGCAATCCTCGAACGGGCACGCATGGCATGAGGGCTCACATGCGGGAAGTGGACCATCCTCCAGTGGGCACGCGTGGAAGAGTGGAGAAGAGGGGTTCAGGCATCAGGTGCTATGTAGGAAGTGCGTGTTCGTATCCAGCTCTTCCCCCCTTTGTTGCACCCCTCCTCCCACTCATCCTCTGCTCTCTCGCAGTGTCCCTCCAGAGGCCCCCAGAGGCCTTTTCGAGGCCCCAGAGGGACCGAAAACGTCCAAACACCTCGATCCCTCACTCTCGATCCTCCTCTTCCCCGCGCACAGGAGGAGGCGCAGGGGGGAGGGAGGTGGAGGGCGAAGGAGGAGGAGGAGGAGGAGGATGCAGGGAGGGGAAGAGGATGGAGGATGCAGGAGCCCCTTCCTTTCTCCGCCCCCACTGCCTCCCCAGCCGATAGAGAGAGAGAGAGAGGCCATGAAGAAGACGGAGCAGGCGACGCAGGCCATCGCCCTCAACGTGGCGCGGAAGCTGAAGAGACTGGGGGTCACGTGTGCCGAGGCCGCTTCCCCGCTCGTCGTCGCCGTCACGTGCAGGTTGAGGCGGGGGGCCTCGTGGCCGACTCTGGAGACCCTGAGCCCAACATTCGGGTGTTGCTGTGCCCCTGGCCCAAGGTGCACCCAGGATTTCCAAGGAGGCCCTCGCTGCCTCCAGAGCACCCGTCACGAGGTCCAGAGAGCCGCAGGGGCTCCATTGGAGCGAAAAGCTGGGAGCACCTTGGTCTGGTTGACGCAAAAGGGGGTCAAGCTGAAAGGGGGTGGTGCAATAGATTCGGTGCAGTAGATTTGTGGAGTTGCAGTGGATTTGGAGCGTGCAATCTATTCCGGTGCGCAGATGTATTGCTGGATTTTCGTGTGCAATACATCAACCGCAATGCGATGCAATACAATTATCTGGCGCAGTACATCTGCAACACTGTTGCCCGACATCGATTGCACCACCCTCTTTCGGCTGGACCCCCTTTTGGGTCAACCGAACTTGAGCCAGGGGCACCTTCAGCAACCCCCGAGACATGTTGACGTCTCGCTCTACTTCCGCCGCCTTCCGCCGAGCTTCCGCAGGGCTCATTCCGATTCGTCCGATTCGACTCGACTTCTCCCGACGTGGCTGCCGATTTCCGCCGATCCGATTCGTTTCGATCGCCGATCCGACTTGTCGATTTCATTCTGTCGACGAGAAATCAAAAATACCCTCAATATAATCAAAAATAATCAAAACATCTGGGAACTTTTTTTTTTTTGACCTTTCTGGGGATATGCTGGGCCCTCCTGGCTTCCGCCGGCCGGCCCGCCGTCGTCGTGTGCTGCCGCCGCCGGCCTTCCGCTGTGGCGAGACGTGCCGGAGGCGAGGCCCCTGCTGCACCGCCTCGCACCCGCAAGGCTCCTGCCGATGCCATCGACCCGCTTCGGTATAGCCTCAGGTATGATGCCTCGTTCGCCTCTTCCTCATCCTCCTCCTCCCTCCTCCCTCCTCCTCCCTCCTCCATTATTCTCCCTCGTCCTCCTCCTCCTCCTCCTCCTCCTTCTGCTCCTCTTCCTCCTCCTCCTCCCCCTCCCCCCCCAGTGAGTCACCACAGCGTGACCCGCGGCCAGCCAATGTAATGTTCCACTCTTCTCACGCACCGGCTGGTGCAAATCTTACTTGACTTGACTATGATGCCTGCATGGCGCCGCTGTGCATGCCGGTTCGGCGGGTCCGATTCGGTCCTGGCTCCGTGGCGATGCTGCCCGACCCGACGCACGTTCCTGATCCCATCCGATTTCCCGATTCGATTCTGGTTGATCTTGCTGGTGCCGCTGCCTGCGCCCTGTAGGGGAGATCGCCACCCGCGTCTACGTGCCGGAGGCGCAGGATTGTTCCAGCACGTTGGGTCTTCGGCTGCCGGTCCCGGGCCTTGGGCCAAGCAGTAGCGACTACAGTGGAGGCTCATGCCAAGAAACACCCTGCTTGCCTCCAGGGTGCCCTGGGTTTCTTGGGGTTCGATGGTTTTGCGATGGAAAGCGTAACATCCCCACACCAAAAAAGATTGAACATCCTGGGGTCTCAGGCTTGTTTTTCTTGTTGAAGGTTTCTTGTGGGCGGGCCCCTACGGTAAGGATGAGAGGCCGATCCCCGGGAAGGATCCATACACATTTAGACGTTTTCGCGCTCTGTGGCCGTCATGGCTATGGCTGGGCGCTGCTGGAAGAGCTGGCCACCATGGGTCCCGGGCGAGGGAGCTTGATGACTGATTTATGTTCGAGCCGTAGACGGGCGTTCGGTGTTCTCCGCACTGGCGGTTTCAGCAATCTAGGTGGGACTGGACCGTGGCGCAACCAATTGTAGGAAAGCGTGGTTCGTGTTTTCCGGCATTTCGCTCTGCAGGAACGCGCAGTTCGTGGCTTCCTACATTTGTCTCTGCGTGTGCTCGGTGTTGCAAAACCATGTTCTCAACCACGCCGTGAACCTACAAAGCCGTTAGCCGGGCCTTGGTCCAGGAGGAGCAGGAGGAGGAGGTGGTTTGCTGACCAGGTTTCCAGGATCGAGTCTTTGGGACGATTGGCTCTTTTTCCAGAGGCCCTTGTGGAGTTTGGAGCCCTACAGAGACGTCCGCCTCCTCCTGAGACGTCACTTCTTTGTGTCTGATTTGGTATTCCTTTGCTCGGCGCCCCCCCCTTCTGCAGGGGTCGCCACACGCACGATGTAGAGATTGAGACCCCATCACGCCTCCAGCCCCGCTGGGCCGGCGAATCGGGTCCCTGACGACCAGCGAGCCTAGACTCGACTACACGTAAGAGTGGCCCTTCGCCGGAGTGACTTTTGGTGCGGGCCCATTGGGGTCCCCTGATCGCCGAACGCGAGGCGGCAGTGGCGTCTTGCGCGCTTGTGTGTTGGCCCCCCCCCCCCGCGGCCATCAAAAAACCCGCGCACCAAAGGTCGCTCTTACCCAGGATCACTCTCACGCCCAGCCGATAGTCACAGTCGCCTCGCAGGGTTGCGCTGATCGTGCAGGCGAGGCGCTGTCGCGTGTGTCTGGCCCACGGGCGGGGCAGGCAGCCGGCGCGCGCTCTGCGTCGGCGGGTCCGGGTCTCGGGCAGTGGCGGGGCGTCCTGGCTCGCCTAGAGAGGCCCACCAAAGAATGTTCTAAGACCTTTTTTTGTGGCTGCTGCGAAATGCTCTAAGAACACTTCTGGCTGGGACCGTCTTTCTTTAAGCATCGGGTTTCTAGGTTCTAAGAACACTGCTGTTGTTATGACAGCATGTCGTGGGAGGTCCACAGGAATGCCGGGACGGCGGGGCCCCTGCTCAGAGGTCACCTTCCGCAAGCTGATGAAGGTGGAGACGTGCCTGCAGGCGTTCCAGAGCGTCGGCCTGCAGATCACCCGGCTCACCCACCAGCCTCGGCTGCCGCAGGCCCTTCCCGCTCAGTATCCGTTAACCGACCCCCATCCCTATCGCCATCCCCTTCGAGACCCCCACCAAATTATACCCCCACAGTTGGGGATGCACCCCTCGAAACCCGAGGGGAACGGCCTATATATATATATATATATATATATATATATATATATATTATATATCCCATTTGGGGGGGGACATCGGCCAGAGGGGCCCAGGCCACGCCGCTGGGGATGGGGATCGGTTCAACGATACTCATCCTCTCCCCCTCGCACAGGAGGAGGCGCAGGGGGGAGGGAGGAGGAGGGAGAAGGAGGAGGAGGAGGAGGAGGATTCAGGGAGGGGAAGAGGATGGAGGATGCAGGAGCCCCTTCCTTCCTCCGCCCCTTTCGCACCTCTGCTCCCACAGCCTCCCCGCTTCAACGATGCTCACCCGCACACCCCTCCGCGCTCGGGTCCGGGCCCGCCCCTGCCCGCCCACCGCGCGGCCTTGCTCCGCCCCACCGCCCCTGCGCGCCTGCCTGCGGGAGTGTCGGGAACTCGTCGGCGTCGGCGTGGGCGTGGGCGTCGGCGTCGGCGTCGGCGTGGTCGTCGTCGTCGTCGTCGTCGTCGTCGTCGTCGTCGTTGTCGTCGTCGTTGTCGTTGTCGTTGTCATCGTCGGCGGCGTCGTCGGCGTCGTCGGCGTGGTCGTGGTCGTCGTCGTGGTCGTCGTCGGCGGCGGCCTCGGCGTCGGCGGCGTCGCCGTGGCCGTGGCCGTGGCCGTCGCCGTCGTGGTCGTCGTCGTCGTCGTTCTCGTCGTTGTCGTCCTCCTCCTCCTCATTCTATTCCTCCTAGGAGGCGGGACTCGAACCTCTGCGCCAGAGAGGACTCATGAGTGGAGCACCGAGCTCATGATGCACACATACGCGCACGACGCACGACGACGACGACGCCGACGACGCCGCCGACGCCGACGCCGATGCCACGACGGCCTCTCCTTCTCCTCCTCGTCGTCGTCGTCGCCGTCGTCGACGCCCGCGGCGCGCGCGGCGCCAGGGCGACCCCGCCAAGCCGAGAAAGCAGCGCCGCGTCTGAGCCTGGCCGTGCACGACCGCCTGCCCGCGGCGGCGCGCCGCCTCCGCGGCCGAGGCGCTCGCGGCAGCCCCGGGGAGGCACCACCGGGGAACCTTCCTCCTCTTCCTCCTCCTCCTCTTCCTCCTCCTCCTCCTCTTCCTCCTCCTCCCCCTCCTCCTTCTCCTCCTTTCCTTTCCTCCTCCTCCTCTCCTCCTCCTCCTCCTCCTCCTCCTCCTCCTCCTCCTCCTCCTCCTCTCCTCTCCTCTCCTCCTCCTCCTCCTCCTCCTCCTCCTCCTCCTCCTCCTCCACCTCCTCCTCCTCCCTCCTCCTCTCCTCCTCTCCTCTCCTCTCCTCCTCCTCCTCCTCCTCCTCCTCCTCCTCCTCCTCCTCCTCCTCCTCGTCCTCCTCCTCCTCCCCCACCTCCACCTCTCCTCCTCCTCGTCCTCCTCCTCGTCCTCCTCCTCCTCCTCCACCTCCTCCTCCTCCCTGATCGGCACGGTCGAAGTGGGTGAGGAAAGGGTGGCCGGAAGCAGGAGCATGTACGTTACCTTTTGCGAGTTGTTTCTCGATCCCAGGGTTTCTGTGTGGACCTGGACCGAAGTATGGCCCGCACCAGCATCCGGCAGGGCCAGGGCTGCCTTCTTGACCCGCGTCCGGGCCCGGCGGCCCCGGCCCCGCCTCCGCTCGAGGGGGGCGCCGGCGGCCGGCCTCGGCGCGCCGATTGGGCCCTGGCGGCCAGGTCTCGGGTGCTGCCAGAGGTGCCCCCCTGGCCCCACGGTCCGGAGGGGAGAAAACACAGGCAGAGTGCATCGTCGATTCCCCAGGAAAGATTGGGAGATCTGGGAAGTGGGGGGGGGAGACAAGAGCCCCAGAAAATGTGGGCAGATGTGGGGAATCTGGTTATTTGTGTCCATTTGTTGGTGTGTCCCAGTTCCCCTTCACAAGGTGCCCCCAGGACTTCCAAGGAGGCCCCCTCAGGGCTCGTTACGATTCCTCCGGTTCGATTCGATTCGATATCGAGTGTTTCCGATTACGATTCGATTCGACTTGGAATGCCGATGGGTTCCGAGTGCTTATTGGAGGCATACTAGCCTACCGATTTATGCCGATTCGATTTTTCCCGACTCGGCTGCCGCTTTCTGCCGATCTGATTCGTTTCGATCGCCAATCCGACTTCTCGATTCGACTCCCGGCTCTCCTGCCCCCACGGCCTCCAGAGCACCCCAGGTTCGTTGTGTCAGTAAGACGACGCCGGGACGAGGATGACACCGGGTGAGGATATGTCGAGAGTGTCCAAGATCTGGCGGCTCTGGAGGATCAATCGGGCGCCACGGCTTTCTCAGAGAGTGCCAGAACGCTCTGAGAGCGCTTCAGAACGAATTTATCTTCGTCTTGTCTATCTCCGTTCGAGTCAGAGATTCGGGACGATCGAAATGGGTACAGGAACAATGGGCACGAAGACCGACAGTCTTTTGTCATTTTGAGCAGGAGCTGCTGTCGGCGTCGCCACGGACGTTGTCTATTTGAGACCGAAGACCGCCTGCCCAACAGCGGCCGTTGCCGGTTTTGGACAATATATGTTGTTGGGTATCATACCCATGTTTTCCGTATCCATTTCGGTCGTCCAAAAAAGTGTCCCCAGGATTCCAAGGAGACCCACACGGTTTCCAGTGCACCACGTCGGAGGCCTAGAGGGCCCCAGGGTCTCCAAAATTAAGCGAAAGTTTGGGGCACCGTGGGCCAGTAGTATATTTGGCAACCCCAGACTGGTGGAGGTGGGCCTTGCCCAAGTCGCCCCGAGGTTGCCTGGTCAGGGTAAGGACGCAGGTGAGCCCCCTGGTCGTTGAGAGTAGGCACTTTGGGAGTCCCAGGTGCAAGTCTGCTTTGGGCGCCTTCTTATTTCAAGTGTCGAGCTGGCTTCCCTCGTTCCCTCTTTTCTGGGGCGGGCGGGTATCCAAGCCGCTCTCAACGCCGTCCTACTTCATGTGTCTGCCATGTTTTTCCAATCGATGGGCAAGAAGTGTCTCCGCTTTTCCAAGGTGGTGATCGTTTGTTTATTTAATCGCTTTGCTCATTCCGCCGGCCCGTATTGTGCCATCGCAGGCGTTTGCTTGCGCGTTCGTGGCCTCTTGGAGCCTCGGTGGGGCCGTTTGGGGCCTCTTGGCGCCTCTTTTTAGGCCTCTTGGAGAACTCGGGAGGCCTCCAGGGGGCCTCCTGAGCTCTCGTGACGGTCTCTTGGGGGCTTTCGGCGGGCTCTTGGCGGTATTTGTTGGTCCTCTTGGGGCCTGGGGCCTGACGTTGTTGGTCCTCTTGGGGCCTCACGGGAGCTTATTGGGGCGTCTTGGGGGTGTCTTGGAGAGTCTCTTGGGGCCTCTTTCGGGGTCCTGGGCGCCTTCTGGGGCGGAGGGCTCGATTTTTCAGTTCTCGGTTCCCTTCTTGAGCCCCTCTTGGGCCCGTCTTGGGGCCTCTTGGTCCGCCTTGGGCAGCACTTGGGCCGTCTGGGGGGCGCTCTTGGGCCGCTCCGGGGCCGTCTTGGGAGCCTCGTGGGCCGTCTTGGAGCAGTCTTGAAGGCCTCTTGGGCCCTCTTGGAGCGTCCGGAAGCGAAAAGGCCAGAACGCAAAAAAACATAGAAAAACCAATGAAAATCAACGATTTTGGCAACTTGGGGCCCTCTTCGGAGGCCTCTTGGAAGGGCCTTGGAGCGTCTTGGAGGCCTCTTGGGCTGTCTTGGGGCCATCTGGAGCGTCTTCGGGCGATCTTTGGCCGTCTCGGGCCTCTCTTGGACCGTCTAGAAAGCTTCTCGGGGCCCTCTTGGACCGATCTGGAGCCTTCTTGGACTCCGAAACAGAACTCCGGCATCTCTGGCCCGACCTTACCGGGACCTTGCCGGGGACTTGCCGGGACCTTGCCGGGGTACTTTTCGTCCGGGGACCCCCAGGGGCCGCCCCGCGCGCGCGAACTAGAGATACTGTTGACCAGATACCGGAGATCTTAGCACGTCCTGGCCCGTTTCGGGGGAGCGTAAGACCCGGGTTTGCCGGGACTCGGGTTCGCCATCTTTTTTTGACGACCGCGACTCGGATTTTGACGAGGAGGAGTTTTGTGGGATGTCTGCAGCGGGAGGCCTCGTCAAAATGCAGGCTCGGCCTCGTCATTTTTTTGACGGCCTCGTCGGGGATTTCCGAGTCCCCCGTACCCGGGTCTTACGTCTCCCCGACCGTTGGGCCGGCGAATTCATTGTTTTGCTGATCGGCGCGTGCCCTCGCTCCACCTTCCCCCACCCTCTTGGAGTCGATCTTGGCTGTTTTTGGCGCCTGTTTCGAGCGGTTGGAGCCTCTCCCCAGAAGGCAGCAGTGCTGCACACAGCCGCACGAAGCAGAGGTCCGGAGCCAGACCCCCCCCCGTTCCGCCCAAAGTCGAGCCGCCGGATCAAAGAAACACTCACGTGAGGTGCCGGTGCTGGCTCCGAAGAGGCCCCGCCGCGGTGGGGGGGGGGTAGGGCGCCTGCGGAGCGGCGCGCGTACTGCCCGAAGTGGACCCGAGCTGGTCGGGTCCAGATCGATTTGGTCGGGTCCTCCTCCTCCTACGTTTCTACGTTTCTCGCTATGCAGCGTCTTGTCGCGCGCCCCGCGGGCGCGGAGCGCTCTGCAGCGGCCCTCCAGGGCCGTGCGGGCACTCAGACAGCGGCCCCGGGAACCCGACCCCGAGGAAAGCAGGGAGCCAGGGACCAAATAATCACAGAGAAGGGAGAAGGGGGGCCGGGTTTCAGCAAAACTAAAAAGATGAGGGCCCGTCTGGGCCCTCAGCGGGCGCCGCGCTCGCCCGTGCCAGCTCAGCCAGCTCGGCGCGCAGCCAGGCCTTCGGCCTCTTTGTGGGCGGTCGGCCTCTTGTGTGGCGGCTGGGCTCCCTTCGGCGCCTCGCGCTGAGCCCAGCCGCCAGATCATCAGATGGATGGCCGCCTTCTCTGCGGCGGCCTCCACCCTTCGGCGCTTAGCGCTGTGGAGGCCCGCCGAGCCTCTCTTGGACTCCGGCGGCTCTGCAGCAATCTCCTCGCCTGCCACGCGAGGGCGGTGGGGAGACACCCTTCGGCGCCAGGCGCTGTGTCTCCCTCACCGCGGGGCAGGCTGCCCCTTCTGGTCGAGTACTCCATGGCTTGTAATTCTCCATGGTGACTGACGCTGTATACTTCCAGTACTGCCTGACGTTGCAGAGCTGCTCCATGTAGAGCTTGCGCTTGTAGGGCTCCATGTAGAGCTGTGGTGCTGCCGTCGTCAGTCATGCCCCCCCTGCTTTTGAGGTGCAGGGGGGTGCTGATCACGGATGTTGTAGATGTCGATGTATGGGGGCTGAGTGCAAGATGTGGAGCGAGTTGGACGGTCGTTGGGGGTCGGTTCGTTGCTGGTGTTGTGTTGGTTGTGGGCTCCCAAGGCCTCCATGCGCCGACTTCAAGTGGGGGTCCTTGCTGTCCCACCTCGTCCCGCTATGGCTAGGGGTCACGGTGCCCTCGGTGGGGGCGAACCCCAGGCCTGGTACTTGTTATCGTCGGAGTGGGGTGTCTCGGCTGTCCAGCTTCGCCCTCGGGCGATCGGGTAGCTCCTCCTTCTCCATGGGAATGGTGGGGGTGGCGAGCTAGGGCGGACCGCGGGGGCGCAGGTAGTGGCCGTCCTACCCCCCCCCTGCCCCTCACCATCCCCGCTGGCGGGCGCGGGAAGTACTCGTCCTTCCCCCCCAGCCCTTCGAGCCCGTCTCGAAGTTTGATCCTCACCAGGACAGCGTTGACTTGGCAGGAGTTGTGTGGGGTCGTGCTGGGTATGCTGTCGATGTCGGTCAGTAATACGCTGGCGGCCAATGGGCCGCCCGCTGCCAGCCAGCTGGCGCCATCCAAATTGTAGATATCCAGTCGCCGCCGGGGTACACAACAAAACGTGGCGACTTGTGCCTGGGGTGTTCCCTCGCATTCAGGGCTTCCCCAGGACTTGCATTCTAACCATAGCAAAACTTGACGACGCTGCCTGAGGTCT